CAAAGCCGCTCTCAAGGAAGCACAACAAATGCTCCACGACCAACCGGATGATCTCGGCATCAAGTCTAAGTTGGGGCCTCTTAGGCTCCAAGCTCTCAACTTGGCCAAAGCGGAAAAACTATTCTTCCAACAAAAGGCCAAATGCACTTTCCAAATCAAAGGAGATAAATGTACCAAGTTCTATCATAGCTTGGTCAAGAAGAGAGCGAAAAGGAACTATATTGCTTCGATAACTCGTGAGGATGGCACATTAACCGGTTCCATGGAGGATGTTTCTAAGGAATTTATTCGTTACTATGAAGGCCTATTGGGAACCGGGGTGCAAACGGAGGACATTGACCCTCAAATTCTTAGTTCGGGGCCGACCCTTAGCCCCAACCATCGTAGCACTCTAATGGTCCCGGTAACCGATGAAGAGATCAAGTCCACCCTTAGAGGCATTGAAGGAGGCAAATCCCCGGGCCCGGATGGCTACACCTCTACCTTCTTCTTAAAGAGTTGGGATGTGGTTGGTAATGACCTTGTTGCGGCAATCAAAGAATTTTTTCGTTCCGGGTCCATCCTCAAGCAATGGAACCATACCGGAATCACGCTTGTCCCTAAGTCCTCACACTCCTCCCGAGTCACGGACTTTCGGCCAATTGCGTGTTGCAACACGGTTTACAAGATTTGCTCCAAAATCCTCGCAAGAAGAATTAGCGAGGTCCTCCACACTATTGTTGATGAAGCCCAAGCCGCTTTCGTGAAGGGAAGAAATATGACGGACAATATTCACCTCATGCAACAATTACTCCGTCAATATTTGAGAAAAAGAGTCTCCCCGAGATGCTTGATCAAGATCGACCTCCGTAAAGCATTCGATTCCGTCTCATGGGCCTTCTTGAGGCAAATGCTTGAGGGTTTAGGCTTCCCAATGGCTTTCACTAAGTGGATCATGGAGTGCATCACCACCCCTTCGTATTCATTATCCATCAATGGAAGCCTTAAAGGCCATTTCAAAGGAGCTCGTGGGCTAAGACAAGGTGACCCTCTCTCGCCTTTTCTTTTTGTTCTTTGTATGGAATATTTATCTCGGCTCATTAAATGGCACACGGCGGAAGACCCGAACTTTAAATTCCATCCTATGTGTGAGAAGCTTAGAATCTCTCACCTTGTCTTCGCCGATGACCTCATGCTCCTCTCTCGGGGAGACTCGGGGTCAATACAATTGCTTATGAATTGTTTAAGGGATTTTGGAGCAAAATCGGGGCTTGAAATGAATGTGCTCAAATCCAACATATATATGGCCGGAGTTAAAGGGCAAGACCGTGAGACAATCCTTGATGACACTAGTTTGCAAAGCGGGCCTATGCCTTTTCGCTACCTCGGGATTCCCCTCACCGCGGATCGCATTACCGGGAGGCTCTTTGATGATATGATCAAACAAGTTGAAAGCCAATTAAGTGCATGGAGGAGTCACTCCCTTTCCTATGCCGGTAGATTGGAACTAATTCGATCGGTCATTCAAGGCATCGCTTGCTTTTGGATGGGTATATTCCACTTGCCGGGCATTGTTCGAACCAAGATCATTCAACTTTGTAGGAGGTTCTTATGGGGCTCCAAAAAAGCCCCCGTTGCATGGGATACTTTGTGTCTACCTCGTGCGGAGGGTGGATTGGGACTCCGTAACTTGGACGCTTGGAACCGAGCCCTTCTCATGAGGACTCTTTGGAATATGCAAGCAAAGAAGGATTCACTTTGGTACAAATGGATCCACAATATCTATTTGAAGGAGAAAACTATTTGGGATTGGCAAGTTTCCAAAAATGATTCTCCCCTCTTCAAATCCCTCTTTGAAATCCGGCAAAGCTTGATTGAAAAAGCGGGTAGCGAGCATGGCGCGGAAGCCCTTCTCCGTGCTTGGAATTTGCGTGACAAACAAGATGGAAGGAGGAAGTGCTATGATTTTCTCCGTCCCAAGGGTATCGAGAAGCCATGGACCGGGGTTGTTTGGGGAAGTTGCAATACCCCTAAACATTCTTTCATCTTATGGCTCGGCGTAATGAATAGGCTCCAAACAAAGGATAGATTGGAGTTCCTCAACGAAGACCCCACATGCCTCCTTTGTGGTACCGCAAACGAATCCTCGAGTCATCTCTTCTTCGAGTGTCCCTATAGCTTGGAGATTTGGAGTGCAATTAGAGTTTGGGTTAGCCTCCGTCACATGCCATCTACCCTTAAAGGCGCCCTCAAATGGACTAAAAAAGAAGGGAAAGGTACGACTTGGCGAGCCAAATTGAAGAAAGCGGCGCTTGCGGCAACCGTCTACTTCATTTGGAACGCACGCAATAGATTGATTTTTGAAGGCGAAAGTCAACCTCCAAGCCTCGTGATTAGAAAGGTAAAAACACATGTTTACCGCACTATCTTTGCTATCTACCCGAGTGTTCTTGCCGAATTCGAAAGGAGATGTTTTGGCCTTGAATTTTGAAATGTTTTGAGTTGGTTGTTTCAAAGTGTGTGAGCTATTGGAGAGGAAGTCTATTGCTTCCCCTTCTTCGAGTGAGCACCCGACTTGTGGTTGGCCTCGTTTATTTTGGTTCTTGCGAGTGAGGAGACGACCTGTGTCTACCCACTACGCTTTGATAGCCGTCTCGGTTGTATGACTTTCATTTTTGATCAATACAAATTTATTTAACGATCAAAAAAAAAAAAAAAAAAAATTACAAAAATACTAAAACTGAATATTTGTCCATCTTGCCGCGTCTGCCGTTGTCGCCACCATCATTAGCCGCCATTCATCATTCATCTACCGTTAGGAAATTTCAACAAATTATATACCTTATTGAAGCTTTCGGTTCAATCTAGTCAACTACATGTTTAATTTCATCATATAATATCTCAAACTTTATTAAATCGTTATTATAGTCTAAAAATAATAAAAGAATTGTGCATTAAATTATTTTTGAGTGTCACTGAAGATCTGACTTTTGTATAGGAAAATCTTTTCATAAAGAATCCAACGGTATCTCCCGATCGTCGATCGAACATTTAGATAGTCAGAAAAACATAAGTGAATTTTTCATATTTTCGATGGTGGACGATTGCGGGATAAGACAATTTCTGACGACTTGGTTGTTTAAATTCGATGGATGAACTCTCATTTTAATGTTTTGAACTTAAATGAGCCTTCAATTCGAAATGATATTTTCTATATATTTGTTCATATTTTTTTTCTTAATTTTATATTTTTTTCAGTAAGTACATAATTGATTAAGTGAAAATTTTGGATGTCAAAAGTTAAAATAGAATAAAGTAAGGATACCATATTAATTTTTTCCCATTGATATTTTCAGTAAGAGTAATTTTATAGTTTAATAAACGATATATTTAAAAAAATATTTAATTAAGTAAAAAGATACATGTCATAATTTTAAGGAATGAATATATTGTCATTTATGTACGAGTGATCTACAAGGGTAAAGTAACGACAGAGTGAATCATCAAAAGTGGATAAATGACTAAATATGTTAATGTAGAGTGTAATTTATTACAATCTATATTTATATTAAAAGGTATATTATTACTAGATTTAGTATAAAGAAAAGTCAACAACATTTATTGCATTACTATTTCCGTATTATACAATCTATACTTGAGATTCTATTTACTACATTTACTATCCAGAAAAGTCAACTGCATTAAATGCCATTACTATTTTGGTATTATAATATTATATTTATTTAATTGATTTATTTATTTATTTTATTTTAAAAAGGTAAGTATAATAAAAAATATTTTAATAAAAAAAAATCAAATACCAAATAAAAATGTACACTTTGACTTATTTGATTATATTTGGTATTTGATTGTACCAAAGATATTCCTATTTAGTATATACATTAAATACTTACTAAAATATTTATTTGTTTTATTTGTCAAAGTTAGGTATAGATTTGTCTATATTATCAAATAATAAAAAAATATTAAATCCATATTGTAAAAAAAAAAAATCATATAATTTTATAACAATTCTACTACACTATTTAACAATATTTCTTTTTTATTATATAATAAAATAATAATTAAATATTATATGGTGAACAACAATAAGTAAAACTGTTACTTTCTCTTATATCAAGGGATAAATTTATATGCTAAAATTAAATTTTTATTAGTATAAATGTTTTAGTGAGATAATATATTAATTATTTTACAAGCTAGCCCTAACATGCTCATATTTAATGTTTTAAAAGATGTAGAAAAAAAACTTATAATAACTCTATTGTTTTTTTGACTTAAACGTTGATTAAAAGAGGTAAAAATTCCTAATTTTTTAGACTTAAACGTTGATTAATACCATAGATTGAGAGTTTATATTTAGTAAAATTCTTAATTGTAATAAAAAAAATAATTTTTGCTATATTTTAGAATATCTTTAAATTCATTATAAAAAAAAAAAAAAAACTACAATGAAAAAAGCAAGTCAGTTATATATCGATTTGTTGTACTCCTCAAATCACATTCACAATTTGGATACAAGGAAAGAAAACTCATTGATTAAATATTATTTTGTCAATAGTCTTAATGTACAAGAGATTTTAAGACTCTTTATAAAATTTTTATTGAACATTGTACAATTATCTTGCGTATTATAAACTTTTATTGAATATTGCATCTTATAATATAATATTCTCCAAATAAATATATCTCGTGCTTCGCACAGGTCATCGTACTATATGTATCCCGTACATTTTTCTTTGTTCATATATATAATTATAAGCCTGGATAAATAGCCTTAAAATTGTGCACTCCGTGCATCATACGGAGCTATGTACTAGTTATTACATTTATATGGGAGATGCTCTAAGTTTTAAAATATGAGATACCAAAAACCAAAAGAAAAAAAAAATATCAAAATTGTTTTTTTCTTTTCCTTTTAGTTTATCGTTTTTATCCGACTTTACGAGGTGGATCACCTCCAACACTATAAACGCTACATGAGAAAGCGCTTTTATAGCAAAAGTTCCCTCTCGCTCATCGTCTTCTACTAAAAATTTGAAATACAATTCCAAATTTCCAACCTCCGCATGCCCTTCTCACTCTCTTTTTCACACACACAGTCACAGACACCGGAGAACTACGGCGTTAATGGCCAAAGAGGCGGCAGCCTCTGGCATCACCGACCCACTGAGTGGACTCGTTGGGCCTTCGCTCTTTCCCCGCACGTTTAAGGCCTCAGTCGGCTTTCCAGCGCCGTCTGATCCAAAAGACCTAGATTCAATCCACAGTTTGATGAAGTCCCTGGTATAATTATTTTTCTGCTCCCTTGTTGATTCAATCTATTAACTATTTACAGCTCCGGATGAGCATAATTGTGGGCTGATGCGAATTAGTTTAACTTCCGCTGTTATTTACAGGTTATGTGCATTCTTCTAGTTTGAGTTGTACCGATTTTTGGTTGATATTTGAAATGTGTGCTTGCGTAGGTATAGTTTAGGATTCATTTATTTTTGGTGGCTGAAAGTGTTTTTCTGCGGGAGAATAATATGTGGGCTTTACTGTGAAAACTACTATTCCCTGCAAGGGGGCCAGCCGAGTGGTTGCATCTAAAGTGTTTTGTTCCTTTTTTTTTTTTTTTAATTTGATTTTCCTCACAAGATTTTGTGCGCACGAGTCTAGCTACCTGCTAAATGTAAATTGTTTGGTGGTGGATTGTAGTGGAAATGAGTTACTATATTCAAAATTGAGTTCAATAGTTCATGACTGTGCCTGGTTTAAGTGGTTTAAGTAGTTCACTTCGTTATCAAACTTATATCAACATGACAACAAGGAAAACATTATAAAATTTGGCATGTGTTCCTTTCCTGGGTTTGTATTTAAAGGAGTTCAGGAGTCCCGAAAAGCTCATGAAAGAGGCGAAGAGAATTGTGGATGGCGGGGCTGAGCTTCTGAAGTCCAATCTTTCTAGTTTTTTGGAAAATGCTGGAAATAATGGTGCCACACATGCAAAAGGTAAGGACAGAGACAGACCTCAAGAACGAAGACCTGGTCTTGGCCTTGTTCGGAAAAGGGCTAAATTTTCTCTGAAGACCAATATCAGGTGAAATCCAATTTGCTTACTTTTCAACTTTATGTTGGTCCTATTTTGAGAAGATTTATGTCTTAGATTATAACGTATGTGCTTTCTGTACAGTCAGCCTATGGTTACCTGGAAAAATAATGTGGCGCTCGATAGCATTGACGACCCAGATGAATATTTTGAAGCTTATGAGCGGATGGAAAGTATATCATTTTCCTTTTTTCTTTTATCATTTTCCAGATAACATGCAATTTTTTATGTGATGCAATTGGTTGGGCTATACAATCATGTATCTACTGTTTCAGAAGCCAACAAAGAGATACAGAAACAGCTGGGGGCAAATGTGGACAAATTCAGCCTCTATGAACCATCGAATAATGAACGGCGTCGTAGACCAGGGATTTTAGGGTATATGCACTATTTTGTTTACTGTATGACATATTGATTCATTTGTGCTGCAATGTTATGTTTAGAGCTTATAGGCCTTTCTGTATCTGGTGTTTCCATCATGCGATCAACAAATTCCTTTTATTTATAGGAAGACGTATACTTATAAGCATCGCTTCACAAAGGACCTTTCTGAAAATGATGTGTCATCCCAAGAAATAGCTGATGCAGACATTCTGAGGTCACAGGAGGACAATTCACAAAAGGTAGCTGAAGGTGCTATTCCGAGTTCACCTGAGGACAATTCACAAAGAGTAGTTGAAGAAGACATTCCGGTTCCACCTGAGGATCTTAATCCTGATTATAATTTAGAGGAAGTTGAACTGGCTGGTGAGTACACCTTATTGTGTTCTTAATAATTGCAGAAACTAGAAGGATTTGTTATTTGCTTTACGATTTTGCTTATCCAAAACTACGTAGCATTAACTCTAATGTCTATGTATGTGCCTTCTCATTTAGTATCACATTGACTTTGTTACAGGATCTACGAAGAATAAAAAGAATGAATACAGTGATATCTTGCAGGAGGTGTTATCCTTTAATTATGAAGATTTACAAGGGCATGGGGCTTTGAATCTATTGCAAGAGCGGTTAAATATCAAACCTCTTGATATTGAGAACCTAGGCATGACCAAACAACTTGATGTTGGAAGGAGATCTAGTATTTCGACTGTTTCTGAAAGTTTACGAAAATCTGAGAGGAATTCACTGAGTATAGACCGGGCATTTAAAAGTCGGAATAAGAAACCAACAATTGAACAAAAACATTTGCCAGGCCAAGTTAATTTTGTATCCTCGCCAACTCCTCCAAGAAGTCCATTTTGTTCTATATCATTATTGAAAAAGAAAATTTTGCAACCGAATCCACTCAGAGACCCATTTACACCGACTGATATTGAGCTGTCTGAGAGCCCTAATGCTTTGGCTGCCCAGCTTGAGGATAAGCTATCTGGACAGGTTGATGCCCCGGATAATTTGGGCATGTCGAATGAGTTGGAACCACATGTAGATATTGTCAATATGGAACCTTTAGTTTCTAATGTGGATGCACCGGAAGATCTGGGAAATACATATAGTCTGCCTATGCCATTGGTAGATGAGAATGCAGGCGTACAAAATGTACCCAATGATAGCAGGCCTTTTGAAGAGCCAGACAATGATTTTCATACAACAATGAATATTAATGAAAGTAAGATTGCTTTCTGCATGAAATATTTATTTTATTTTCCCAAATGGGAAGTAGGGTGAAGGATCTAGGTAATGTTTGAGGAAAGCATGCCATTAACTTCATAGCTTGACTTAGTTTATGAATTTGATGATATGTGTGCCTTTTACTATTAGGATATATTAATCTATCTCATGGAACTATTCACTTCTATAAATTGCATGCTGTTGTCTATTTAATCATTATCCCCAATCACAGACGAATCAAATCCTTCTGTACTTGAAGAGGACGCCAGAGATGACACGTCAAGCAGACAACAAACAGATCCGTTGGTAGATGAGAATGCAGGCGTACAAAATGTACCCAGCGATAGCAGGCCTTTTGAAGAGCCAGGCAAGGATTTTGATACAACAATGAATATTAATGAAAGTAAGATTCCTTTCTGCATGAAATTTTTATTTATTTTTTCCAAAGGGGAAGTAGGTGAAGGATCAATGTTTGAGGAAAACATGCTATTAACTTCATAGGTTGACTTAGTTTATGAATTTGATGATATGTGCGCCTTTCACTATTAGGATATGTTAATCTATCTCCTGGAACTTTTCACTTCTATAAATTGCATGCTGCTGTCTATTTAATCATTATCCCCAATCACAGACGAATCAAATCCTTATGTACTTGAAGAGGAGGCCAGAGATGACACGTCAAGCAGACAACAAACTGATCCATTGGTAGATGAGAATGCAGGCATACAAAATGTACCCAGCGATAGCAGGCCCTTTGAAGAGCCAAGCAAGGATTTTGGTACAGCAATGAATATTGATGAAAGTAAGATTCCTTTCTGCATGAAATGTTTATTTATTTTTCCCAAAGCGGAACTAGGGTGAAGGATCTAGGTAATGTTTGGGGATAACATGCTATTAACTTCATAGCTTGACTTAGTTTATGAATTTGATGATATGTGCGCCGTCCACTATTAGGATATGTTCTTTCTCGTGGAACTATTCACTTCTATAAATTGCACGCTGTTGTCTATTTAATCATTATCCCAAATCACAGAAGAATCAAATCCTTTGGTACTTGAAGAGGAGGCTAGAGATGACACGTCAAGCAGACAACAAACTGATCCAGATCAACAACATGAGGTCATTTGCAGATTTGTTTCATATTATGTTTTTTTCTTTAATTATCTAATGTGTTTGTGGTCTTGTACTTTTTATGTGACCAAGTCGTAGTAAATTTAACTGCACACTTATTGTGATGATTTTTTGTATTTGGCAATCCATGGCATATAGATGTTATAATGTTTTTCTCCAACTGGCTTAGGTTCGTACTGCGCGGTATGTTGCATTATGACATTGATAGTAGATATGGACAATGGTTCTAGTGTGGCGATTCTTTTGAAAGAAATAATATTGTGCTCTTTCCATTCAATCTCTCTCTCTCTCTCTCTCACTCTCTCCCTCTGCTCCCCCTCTTCCCCCTCTCTCCCATTCCCTCCCTATGTGCGTGAGGGAGAGAGAGGTCCTTCTTATGTATAGTGCTTAAATTGGAATTTGATCTATTGTGGTAATATAGTGAAGATTTCATCATATATCATCTTTTTTCTTATCTGTTATGGCTTTTAGTATCAACTTACGTGTTTTATTACCAAATCAGGCTCATCAAGCCAAGCTGCCAAGGAAAACAAGAGTAACTGGTGAAAAGCGGCTTAGGAAGTTACATCCAATGAGGAAAAGTCTTGCAGGTGTTTATATATTCCATCCTGTGGCAGAAACTTGTTCTATATTAAATCATGGTTTTTGATAAATTCCGTATATTTACTGACTGCAGATGCTGGCACGTCATTTGAATCTGGGGTTAGAAGGAGCAAAAGAGTTAAGATGAGAGCCCTCGAATTCTGGAAAGGAGAGAGGTTCTTGTATGGACGTGTGAATGACAGTGAGTATAATTATATTGTGTTTATATTCCTTATAAAGTATCCTACAGTGAGTATAATTATATTGTGTTACTATTCCTTATAAAGTATCCTACGTCTGGATCTCAATTGCGGCTTAAAAATTTTGCACACAAGTATCCCATATTTTTAGTTACAGTTAGTGCCTGCTTTGCTTTCTCATTGTATCACCTTTGAGGTTCTGTTTTTAGTGGTCATATGATACAGTTCAGTGGGGAGTGAAACCTTGAAAATAATTTTAGGTAAAAATTAAGATTATCAATAACCTCTGAAATTGGACCTGTTTGACTGTGAGTGGGTGGATTGTGGGGCAATTATTCATGAAGAGCTTATAATTTTGTTTCCACTCATTGCTGTGCATGGAAATTACATGTAAATTTGTGAAGTCATCATTTCTTCAAATCCTCATTGACTTCAGAACTGGTGCTGTTGTGCAGACATCATGCGACAATTTTAAAAATTACTCCCTTTTTTCCTCTCTTGTTTTGCAGGTTTGAAGCTAATAGGAGTGAAGTATATATCCCCAGGGAAGGATAGCAAGAACCTAAAAGTGAAGCCCTATATCTCGTCCCAATCATCGAAACTGAAGGAGTTACTCGAAATGGAAGGTTCTCGTTAAGTCCACTTGCTACTCCGTATTATTACCATTATGAGGAACTGATTGTGAGGAGATTGGTTTTAAAATTGTCGGTTTCTAATACGACAATGGCTTCACTGTTGAGGGGAAAAAAAAAAGGGTAGGGAAAACAAGAAAAATGAAAACGAATTCCATCCTTAATTTGTTACGTTTTAGTGAAATGTTGTGTGATATATATTTAGTTTTGTTATTTGTATTAATGACTTCGGGATTGATTTGGATGGATATGGTTATGGTGACAAATTGCTTCATGTTTGGTTTTAGTGTTGTGTTGGGACATAAATGTTGCCCGATTTTGTTTAACAATTCGTGTTGTTAAACGAAATAAGCCCGGTTTTTGTAGCTTGGCATGTAAGAATCCAGTATGGCTTCTTAAGGTTTGAGTTCGACTCGTTAATATTGATAAACGAATCGAGTTCGAGTTCGAGCTTGTTTAGTTAACGAGTTGAGCTGAGTTCGGCTTGATAAAGGCCTGAGCCATCTGCTCATTTACACCTCTAATTTTATATCTCGAAATCTGAATAATCAAACATTTGAGTTGTGTGAGTTGTGTTGGATTATTGAGTTAATGGGATGCTTTTTTGGTATCAAATTGCAACTTGTGCTTTTTTGTGGTATCAAATTGAGTTTTGTAATCTTTTGTTTTATAACTATGGAAATAGTAGTTTGTTAAACATTGAACACAACAACCACAAATTTGTTTAGGCTATTTAATTGTTTTCGTAAGCAGATACGTATAGTATCTTTTGGTAGTTCTAGATAACCTGCATTAAATCTTGTACAATATTTATGATGGAAAATGCTCCTCCTCCGTCATGTACTCACTCTCTCGCCTATTCCTTGATATTTAGTCCGTAACAGTGCAAAAGATGTGTTAATTTTAAGCATATAATTAATAAAGCAAAAATAAAGATAATAATATAAATATTTTAAAAAATTCATGAGTTAACCACAAAGAGTCTGAGAATAAATAGAAAAAGACAATTATTTCTTTCGAAGACTGTTTTAACTTCTAAAAGATTTTAGCATAAATAAGACAAATAAATAATTACAAAATGATATTTTACAAATGGTATTTTTAATACAAAATGTTTATATTCAGAATACAGAATTTTAGCATAAATAAGACAAATAAATAATTACAAAATGATATTTTACAAAAGGTATTTTTAATACAAAATGTTTATATTCAGAATACAAAATTTTAGCAATTGCATAAAAATTAAAAAGATTAATAAAAATACAAAAACAAATAACAATTGCATAAAAATTTAATAACTTATACATCACAAGACACAGGGAGTGTCAATGCGGTGGAAATGACGGGGCGTGTAGCAGTATTGATTTATGATATATGGTTTTCTGCGATCACAAATTCTTGTATGACATAATCAATACAAAAACATTTTTATTTTGATTTGCATAATGATCATCTCAAAATACAAGCTCCATGTTCAATTAACTTTGCCTGGCTTATGTACCGAACTAATAGTTGATTGCGTGTAATAAAATATTGTAAGTTATATATATATATACTAGAAAGCTACGGCTGTGCAATGCACAGCCGGCCCAAGGAAGATAAAAATTTGATGTTCATGAATATGTGTACAGGTAAGCAGAATAAAGGAACTACTATTACTTTAGCGAAACACTAATACATAACATATAATCATCAAAATAAGAATAATGAGCATCAAGTTTGCAGTAGAATTAAAAAGCATCTATATGTAAACAGATGCTTACAATTCTAGGCAATACAATTGCTAAACACAAAAGTTTAGTTTGTTCGGCATATATGCCATGAAGAAGGTACAAAATGCAGCTACATCTATATGCGAATAGATTGCTGTAACAGTTGGCAATATAGATACAAGATACAAAAGATACAGTCCATAGAATCTGTGTTCCCCAAAAGTGGTAATATGCAATCATACAGGAGCTAATCCATTTTTGGCCGACTTTTCTTTGTCGGACTTGCATCACATATCTTACTGGGTTGCTGAGTTTGCTGGGCGGATGATTCAGGAATGTTGGTGGATGGGATAGTGGTTCCTGAGGTGGAGGATTGATGACTGTCAAAGGTGATGCGTTTTTTTGCCGTGGATCCCGAACCTACAATTGTTGTAGGCTTTTCACGTGCTGGAGTGAGGGAGTCAAGAACATTTTTTAGTGTTGGACTGAAGAGTTCTTTGTCCGTTATCTGTTTCGCGAATGTAGATTAGTCACAGTTAGTGTTTGTTCAATAAGCATTCTATGAAATTTTTATATATGTCATAGCTTATATTGTACCTTGGTTGAAGCTGAGTCTGACTCTTCCTTTGCTAGCTCTCTAGGCTGAAGCAGATTTTTGTCTGTTCGCACGCCATCAATTGTATAGAGCTTCAGGACAGTATGGTGAGTTGATTCATAGTGTTTGATGAAGCAAACCACACGACGTCCGCTCATTGCTGCTGCAATCTGAGCAGTCAAATCCACTTTCTGTACCCAGAAATAAAATGTATTTTACAATAGTTAAATAGAAATGATCTAGAATAGCTGGTAAGTGCACAAGACCGATTATTGATTATGAAAAGCAAAAAACAGTATGGTATTAGTTTCCAACGAGTCAATATATTATAGTTATAAATGGTTAAAGGGATAACTCAAGCCGTTGCTATGAATTAGAAGGCATAAATTTTGTTTTGGTTCCTATATAAATTATTGCATATAAATATGTTAAATAACCTGTTGTTCAGCTTGATATAAGTCGGTCCCATTAAATGGAATCACTTGTTCAGCATCTGAATCATACAACATTGCATGTATGTTTCCTGTCTCATCTTCAATTGCAATCGGTAACCGGCACCTAATTGTTATGAATCAAATCAAAGGTAATATGTGTTAGTTTGAGGCACATACAATTAATCAAACAGCTGACAAAGTTCCTAATATTATTAAAGGTCTGTAATAACTTATGTATAAGTTTTGTAGTATTATAATGATGAAACAATTATCATAATTTTGGGAATAAAATCTGGTACCTCACAATGTAAAATACATATTAAAATAAATAGATAATATTAGTAGAAGATAATAAGGCTTTAAATATTTTTCGCTCTCATTCTTTCCTCTCGCAGGTTTGCAGGAGTCACAGCTGAACACTCTTTCTCTTTCTCTCTAATGTTTCTCACTCTCCCTTTCCTAATATTTTCAGCATTTTTTCTATGATTTTCAGTCATTTCATTGAGCCTGATTTGTTCATTTCTGGTGATGCAGATTTCCTCTACAATGTGTGGAAATAAGTTTTTTTACTTGCAAAATATGCTGTGTAAACAGAATGGCATGTGGCAAACAATGAAGATTAGGTATATGAAAATTAAAATAGCAGGAAGTTTTAAATCCTAAGAAGCTTGTATTTGAAATGAGGCAAAACTACATAAGCATACAGCTGTAGATTGATTTCATTTCATTCATAGAAGTTAGAGTTATTTAATGATTAATTCAAACCTTGCTTCAACAAGGGTATCTTCTTTGCAACTTCGACATTTGACAGGCGTATTTGGAGGCACATTATAATTTTTGCGACAATTATTGCAAGTAGCTGTCCACAAAGATCTGTTGTCTCCCAAATATTTCAGATAGCCAGCAACCCAACAAGTTTTAGTCTAACAAAAAGATTATTAAGTTAGTGGCTGTAAATTTTCAATACTGAAGATATGGTGCTTAATATGTTATTTTATTTGCATAATCGTAATTTGATGTAGCTTACGTATCTGATGGAAGCAATTGCGCGTTGAACGGTGACTATCTCACTGGAAGATGGGTATGGAAACAACTTGTCTGTGTCCTTATACATGCCTTCCTCCACAAGCTTCATAACAGTTGCTTTGTTGTCAGCGTACCTATTAAAGAGTATGTGAGAAACAACCAAAAGGTGTGGTGTAATATTACAATTATTATATTGGAAATTGTGCAATACGTACCATTGCTTCAATCTGTCAGCAGCTACTATTGGTGGATTTATCATTAAGCAAGTTCCAGTTTTAGTTGATAACGACAGCCCTTTATAATGATATTGTGTTAATCAGATATGAGTGATTCATCAATTGTAATGTAGGAAATTGAAATTGCGGTCTATGATACCATTGAACGTCGTAACCCTTATCCTCATGGACAAAATGATGTTCCCAGCTAGTACTGTATTGGCCAAGTGTTGACCAACATCATCTTCCGTTTCAAATTGATTCCAAAGAGTCAAAAGGACAGGCTTTTCCCTGGTAAACAGACACTCATAAGTATAATTATTATATTGTTGAAAAAAATTTGAGTTATGATAAAATTCTTACTCTTCATTAATAATCACCAACTCTCGGGCCGTATTTTTTTGTCCCACGCTTTTGACCGGAAAAGCATGCACAACAACACCAAGCAGGTCTAGTATGTTTTTAATTCGACAGTGTTAGTTGGTTTGTTGTTTGAGCAAAGCATGTGGAAATTGTAAGCAAAGTAATATTTCAAATTTTAGACAAATGAGCTCACTTCTGGGGTTCTCTGTATCTGCGTATTTGTGCAAGTCTGCAAACGTATGAATTTCAATCTGGCATGGCAACTGAGGGGGCATTTCTTCCTGGAACTCCTCTACCAAAGTTTTTTTATGCAGGAGCCAATTAAATTCATAAGGGCCAACCTGGTACAGCGGGGTTTCTGGTCGCACTTTTGCTCCAGTAAGGTAGTATCGCTTGTAGGGAAGTAACAGACCATCGAACTCTTCTATGGCTGCTTTGTAGACTACAGCAGCTACTTTGGTACCCTGTTATGCCAGAATAATGAATATGTCATCTTTATAGTTCAGATTTATTATTTAAGTCAACTAACATACAAAAACACAAGGCATTTATAAACCTCTCCATCTGTGAATAAGTATCTTCGATAGGGCACGTGTGAATCACTTTTGCTTGTTTGAATAGGTGCCCTCTCAACTACTTGAATAAGCGCAGTCCAGTTCCGCGTCTCATCAGTGATTTGGCTAATAGGCAAATAGGTCCTCGACATTGTTACCTGCACCGATTGATAATTGAGAAATCAAAAATTGGAAAATAGTAGACTTTATGTACAGTAGCAAAGCACACAGAGCTTTTTTTTTTTTTTTATCATAGTAATGTAAATTTTAATTACATTGATGCGTCGCAGCTGCTTCGAGCACTTCGTTGTAGACTATATTTTTTGTAGCAAAATTGTTTTGTGGATCAAAAAAAGGTGGTCTAATAACAAATTTAACTGCTGATGATAATTTTGCGCGTGACAATGCCACATAAAGTTGACCATGTGAAAAGACTGGTTCTTTTAAGTAAACACCAACTGAATCTAATGTTTGCCCCTGGGCTTTATTAATTGTCATAGCAAAACATAATCGAACTGGGAATTGAATTCTTTTGTAAGGGACAGGAAGTTGGTCATCACTCGAAGGTTTTAATGGAATTCTATGTATGAAAACATTCTTCCCTTTGAAGTCTCCTACAGCAATTTCTGCATGAATAATGTTTCGACTTAATTTTTTACAGATCAGTCGGGTTCCATTGCATAATCCTTCTGTTGGGTCTAGATTTCTAAGTAGTATGATAGGAGCATTCACTTTTAACTGAAGCTTATGTGGAGGCATGCCACCAGGTGTTAAAGAATTTATAATGTCTTCATAGAGGCCTTTATGAATGGGGTTTATTACTTCATCGAAACTAAGGTATTCAACTAATTGTCCTGGGAAATCCATAATCAGTTTGTTATTTATCTCATCTACAAAATTATTTTTTGTAGTCAATATTGCCCTATTCATTGGGAAACTATGTTGCTCATTTTGTTTTTCTTCAATTTCAACATTTTTTTGTACTGTTGTACTGCAGAACTCAGGATATATTGAAGTTATTAATTCTTGCAAGGCAGTGTCAGTATCTGTGTTTTTTATTACAAGGGAAGCAGGTAAGTGGATTGTATTGTTTTCATTTGTCGGCTCTATACCATTTCCTATTCTTAATAAGTATTTAGTAAAGGAGGGATCATGTCGTGCCCGCATATTTTCTTTTAGTTCAATTTTCTCAAGCAAAGGCCAAACATAAGAATTTGTGATGCATGCATTTATTGTATCTTTTTTGTTTCCTTTTCGGACAACTGGTAAAATTTGTCTAAAATCACCACCAAAAACAATAACTTTACCACCAAAAGGTTCATTTGAATCTGTTAGGTCTTTTAATAAGTCATAAAATGATTCTATTGATGATCTCTTAGCCATTGGTGCCTCATCCCACACTATTAGTTTACATTCACGTATTAAGTTTGCCAAATTACTTTGTTTACTAATTTTGCAATTTTTTCCCTTGGACAGATCAATAGGTATTTTAAATCTTGAATGAGCTGTTCTTCCACCTGGCAAAATTGAAGCCGCAATACCGGAAGTCGCAGTTGCCAAAGCTATATATCCTTTAGATCTAAGGTCAGCCAGTAAAGCTCTATAAAGGAAAGTCTTTCCTGTTCCTCCAGGGCCGTCAATAAAAAAAGCACCTGCTTTTCCACTATAGACACGCTGTCGTATTATGGTAAAAGCCTTTCTTTGGTCTTTATTAAGTGACTGAATAGCATTTAAGTCTTCTTGGGTAACTAAAATATTTTTCTCAATTGTTATTTCTCTATTGTTTTCCTCAATGTCAATAGGTATATTAGGAGGCACTATGTTGAATGTATGGATATTTTTTCCCATTGATTCTAGAAAACCATTTATTTGCTCTAAGACCTTCTTCTTAATGCCTATTTTATTTAAATTTGAATGCCTTGTGAAATCCTCGGACATGGCATCTTCGAATTTTTGAAACAATTCTGCTGGATTATTAGGACACGAATAAACAAGTAAGGTCGCAAAAAGGCGTCTCATTTCATATGGCATTTTTAAAAGTGATGCTTCTTCTAAGCAAAATTCTTGGGTGTTATCATCTTGGAGTAAGCCTCTTGCAAGAGCAGCTTCATGATATGATTTAGAAACGGTGTTATTAATTGTTCTAATATCTTTGTAAGATTTTGGGGCTCTAATGTGCAGAAGAAGAAGCTTTAGGTAATACCTTTCGCCTTCATTTGGGTGCACAGTAACAATTCTAGCTATTGAATCCTTTCCGCCTCTTTTTTTCCATTTTTTCTCTTCTGTTAGCCACACAAAATGTTCTGGGAATTCTATGTATGTCAAATTTAATTTTTTGGCATGTTCGTTTGTTCTATTCATGAAAAAGAACTCTGTGAGCATAGTTTTATGATTTCTCGGATTATTTGCAATTCTGTCCAATCTATCGTTTTCTTTATAATTGATTGTTTGATAATTCTCTAAATGCACTGGTAAATTAATAACAGCAGGTTTTGTCTCGCTAATTGGGAATCTATATATCCTCCATGCAGCTTCAGGCGGAGAAACCCAACGCGCTGTTCTAAATTGTTCTATTTCATCAATCTGTACATTTTGATTGGATGTATCTACATGAAATTTAATTTTGTCATGGCCTTTACAAATATACTTATAAATATATTTAACAGCTCTTATAGAAGAACAAATCTCGACATTTATATGACAATTAAACTTTGCAAGTAAGTATGGGTTATAAGGCACCACCCATCTATTGTCTAATTTACAGCCTCGTACTTTTACTGTGACATTATTATCTCGCCTTTGATATTTTGGATATGAATTATTAACTTGAATAGTTACTTCTGAAAATTCCTTTGGATAGTTAAAGCGACACTTATTTTTTGCATTCATACACGAATTAGTCAAATTTAACTCTCCACAAGGTCCATGCATCATATGTTTTTTGACCATATTATATAAATGAGGATTCAATTGTCTGTCTGGTATTTCAGCTCTTACAATTTTATCAAATTCTTCAGGCCTATACAATTTATCCTTGTTTGTTAGGATAATTAACATGTGAGCATGTGGTAAGCCTCTTTTTTGAAATTCTATTACATATGTATATGCGATTACTTCTCCAAAAATATTTTTTTTTAGAATATCTTTTTTCAACTCTTCAAATTTTCCGCGGAAAACTCTAGCCACTAAGTCCGGCCTATTTTGTGATTCTTCAGTTTCCTTTAAAAGCTCTTTTATTTCAGGCCAATTGGGATTACATGTCATAGTTAAAAAGATGTCAGGTTTCCCAAATCTCTGTACTAAAGTCATTGCATCTAAGTATCTTTTTTTCATATTTCTTGGTCCTCCTATAAAAGTGGCTGGCAAAAATACTCTCTGGCCAATTTTTGATGCATTTGTTTCTCCTAATGCTAGAGAATCTTGTATGCCTTGCAAGAATTCTTGTCTAATTTCAGTCTGTTGTTTTTTAAAAAAGTCTAATCTTTGTGATTCAATTTTAACATACATATCGACTATATATTGTTGAAATAATCTCCCAAAATTTAGTAAGCATGACTCATCATTTTCTCTTATTTGTAATTTGTATGCATAGTAGTCCCTCATCGAAACAAAATTCCGGCCCGTTGCTGATATAACATTAGCTGGAAACAGAAAGCATGATGCATGAGAAGTTATTATAAATTGCATAAGTATTTTATTAAAATAAATAACCTGAAATCAATGTAAACAACAAAATATTGGTAATAGGTGTTTTATTTATTAACTCACCATCCTCTGTCTCAATTAATTCTTCAGCTGATGTCGCATGACGTGTAATCGCACAAAACGGTGTTATTGTAGGTGGTGCATTTTTTGAAAGTAAGCCTTTAAACTTTTCTATGCCTCGGTGCCAACCAAGTTCACCAAATGGGAAAAGCAATGGATATTGCAATGGATCATAACAACCGAAATAATATTGTATTCTATGTGGTAAACCACTATGACTATACACTTTGATATTTCTTTCAGATGATTCTTGACCATCTTCGTTCTCTACCCATATTGCGGCTACTTGAGAGGCCTCTGGCTTATTATACACTCTCTGATCAATGTTTGGATTAGTCTTTAATGTGATCTCGTATTCATCCAAATTGTCTATATCATTAAGGCTTCTGAAAAACTGAGCATATGGGTTTTCCCTCAGAACGGCTAAAATTTTTTCAATTATAGATTCTGTTAACCTAGGGCAGACTTTCAATCGATTCGCTATTTCATTTTCAGTGTCATGGAAATATAACTGTAAATTTTGAGACGATTCTAAATCATCCAAGAAGTGATACATTTGGCCTTGTATTTTGAAGGTGTAAATCCCTTTATTACGTTTGGTTAAATTTTTATCACATTTGACTCCCAAAGAAGTAAATGCAAATTGGTTGTTGACGGTCCTAATACAATCTCGAAAGAGTTTAGATTCCTCATTTGCGGAGAAAAGTAAATCTTTTAAAACTTTTGGCAAGGAGTTATTTGCTAATTTAATTTTTCCGCTTAAACAGCAGAATGCAGTTGTTTCATATGGGAATTTCATGGCACCACAATAAAAACATTTTCTGGTTTTTCGAAAAATAAAAGCCTCACCTGGTATGTTATCCCAAATATTATGGTAAACAGCGTGCGAGATACCTATTATAGATGTAAATTTTATTAGGTGAATTTGTTAGTGCAAGCTGAAATAATTTATTTGAAGAAATTAAGAGGTAAAAGGATAATAAAAAGGAATCCATGTTGAGGAATAAAAGTACACTTAAATGGTTACCTGTGCTCTGGGAAGTGGACGCTACATTTTCTGTGAATTTTCTCAAACTGACCGTACTTTGTGTATATAAAGATGAGCTGGAGGAATGATCCAATTCATTTAAATTAACTGGAGTTTTTGAATTTTGTAAACTTAGAACACAACCGGCGGTTGGTGGATTATTAATAGTGCTGTTACTGCGTAAGGGTTGACTTAGATGCGAAACAGTAGTCTCTATACCTGCGACCCTTTTTTTTTTTTTGGCTTGCCATTTTTCAATAGCATCCTGTCTATATGTTTTGTTAGAAAGTTGTAGAGCACAACCAGAGTCCTGCAAAACTGTAGTTTTTGTTGAATCGGCTATTTTAAAATTTAACGTTTTCTCTACATCACATAGGTAAGTTTCTTGCCGATTCGTTCTGTTTTCATCATGGTTTTTGTTTGCTTGATAAGAGATGAAATTTGTAGAAGTAGTTATTGAATTTTTGTGGAACTCACTTGTATAACCGTCTTCGACAGGCAGGTTTTTCATTGTTAATATTCTTCGTTTTTTTTTTTTGTTCTTCCATTTTTCAATGGCATATTGACGATACCTTTTCTTAGAGGCCGGGACTTCGTTAATGTAATAAAAATTTCCTGACAATTGCTTATTTCTATTTGACATTTCCTGGTAAATTTTTTGTAGACTTAAAATACAATTAACGCCACTTTATCAATTAAAGTTAATCAACAGAGCAAATCACCTGGATAAGTCTGTAATGTATTATACACCGAACTTATGATAGCACCCCTTTTTTTTGGGGGGGAAGGGGTGGGGGTTGGTTTATTTGTAATACTTTACTTACACACCTATGTGAATATTTTTGTTTATTCTAATTTACCTTCACCATGCAATTCACCATGCAATCAGTACATTTCGCAATGACATAAAACACAGAAATCACACAGTTCACAGAAAACACATAGTTAAGTAACCGCGAATAAGTAGCATAATAATAAATATGAGAAATAAACAGTGAAAACACAAATATTTTATTTTATATACTAAAAAGGCACCAGGTAATATAATCCTAGAGGCAAAATGATTTACTATATTCCCAAAAGGTAAGCAACAATTAAGAGGGCAATGGTAGCGATATAGCAAAATAAATTAATAAAGGAATAAAATAACAGTTAACACGCAATTCGTATGAAAGGAAGCTAACCTGATAGCGATAAACAAACACCTTGTTATCCTTCCTGGTATACAGAATTTTAAACACTTCAGATAGCAGTTCCACTCAACAGCACAGTCACCTACATGTTTATTAATAAATAAACGATAAGTTAAGAAAATGACCCTATAAATAAATGTGCAACATCCCAAAAATTTCTGCAAACACATATATCAATGAAGAAGGAGCTAATTAACTAACAAGTATGTCTAACATATATATGTAATTAAAAGTTTCTTATGAGTACAACTTATTTTCATGTCTTAAAGAGCACTTAAGTTTATCACAGTAAAGATATTTTTTCATTACCTTATATATCAACCTTTCCAGTCAGCAGGTATGGAAGATTGTGGCAGTAGTCAAGACAGCAGTTCCTTTTAAACACATGACATAACCAACAACGATAATTAGACAACCAAAAATGGCATATCAAAATTTTTCTTGTAATAGGAAAAAAATAAGAGAAACAGCAAACACTTTGTTGCACATATACATAGGCAACCTCTCAGAAAATCAAACAGACTTTATATTTTTATAACCACAACAATGTTCCAAAGCTCATGAATCCAAAAGAGTCCCTTTTACTAATTTAGTACAGGACTTATAAGCGAAGAAGAAAATTCATTTATGTGCAAAACAACATCTTATCAAATTTCAGTGAAACAGAAACAAAGACAATTGGTAAACCAAGAGAGACATACAAATAAAAGCAAATACAAACTGAAAGGACCTTAGAATTTAAATTTTTGGAAACCAACAACAAAAGGTTAATCACTGTAACAAACAACTTGTCCAGTGTATAGGGCCAAAAAAACTTAATCCCATCACAACAGCAAATTATGATGAACTTTATCTTCCCAAAATAAACCCCAAAAAGTAGCAAAAACCCAACATAGAGGAATAACGGGCAATATAACATATTTAGGCTATTTTTCATTGTACAGTCTTTAACCAAATTAAATATTCTTATACTTTTTGGTTCATAAAAACCCTATAGGCTTTATCTGCATATAAATCCAACAAAACATGCTTGACTTTCTTTTTGTAGAACTCATAAACACCTAAATCCGATGGCAATACAAAGGACATCCTTAAAAAACAGATAAATAAAAAATCCGGTGTTGTTTCTTGAGGGAAATGTCTGGAGAACCTAGCAAGAAGAACTTACCTGAAGATACATATGCTTCAACAGTAAAGGTTATAATTTTTCTTGGAAAAGTAAAATGTTACTGCCTATATATACAATGGTAGCTTCTTCTATTAGCTTCTTCTCAACTAATGTATAGAATATTATATTATTAGTGGAGACAAATCAAATCAGAAGCCAATATAAAAATATTAATGTGGCTAAAATTAAACACATTAGACCTAAAAAAAGTAAAAAAAGCTAACCAAAAGCTGCAAGCAAATATTTTGAATGATATCAACAAGATACTTTGTAATAATTTCAATCAATTGCCCCATACAATAGACGGCTGCATACAATATACATTGTAGAATTTGAACAGAAGAGCACTATGAATTTGTCCTCATCATGTAACTATTTTTCCAATTAAACTCAAATAAAAATGAATATTAAATTGGCATACAAAACAAAAAACCATCAACAAATCTCATAGCTGTAACATTTCATAAGTCAAAGAAGGAGAGCGAGCAATGTAAACTGTAAAAAAAGTTTATAAAAAAAAAATAAATAATAAAAAAAGGAGCTTTCCTGGTATGCATTTGCAACAGATTAAACCAGAATAGAGCCGAATTAAATTTCCTTGCGCCTACAAAACAAGATTAAAACACATACCAAACCTTCCATGTTAATTTCAGAGGTAAACGTGCTAAAATACATAAAATTAAACTGACGCGAACCCTCAAACAATAGATCAGCCGAAAATCTCAAAAAAATTTCTGAAATTATTTACCTGCAATTGACCCAGCGCAATCACGCAAAAACAACAAAATAGACCTCCACTGGAACTAAACAAAGATGACCCAACTGTATAATTTGGAGACTGTAGCTGAAAAACAAAAACAGATTCAGAGTTACTCATCGAGGAAGACGACGGGATTGGAAAAATCGTTCTCGTCGAAAAAAAAATACTTATAAAATGACCCAAAAGGCAAAAAAAAGATAACCTCACACCAAAGGAACGACACCGTTTCGAATAAAGATCATCATTTTTTTTTTCTTTTTTTGGGAACAGTCTTCAGATTCCTCGCGCACGTGTCGTAAAGGAAGGTCGATCGTCTCTTCTTTTTTTTTTGAACAGGTATAATACAAAGGCTTCAAATTCCTTGCGCCACGTGTCGCGAAAGGAAGGCTCTTAGCATCTTTTTATATATTAAGAGTAAAGATATAGAGAGAGGTAGGTTCAAATAAAAATTAGTCTTGGTGTGAGAAGCGTGAGAATCGGATTTAATGTTATTTTTAATTGTGTATGATGTTATTTTTCATATTAGATGATGCTATTATTTTTACAAATGCTAACATGTTGCTATTTTTAATAAAATTCATCATGGTTAAAAATAGCACCAAACACAATCAATCATAGCACTACGCACAATTAAAAATAACATCAAATATGATTCTCACACCAGAACCAAGTCTTAAGGTGAGAACAGTGAGAACCACTAATTTTAATTGTGTATGGTGCTATTTTTAATAAAATACATCTTGGTTAAAAATTGCAACACAATCAATCATAACACTTTATACAATTAAAAATAGTGGTTCTCACGGTTCTCACGTTAGGACTTAGTCTCATTTGAACATCCTATATATATATATATAAATATTATATTTAAAGATTTTGATTTGGTTTTGATTGGGCCGTGAAGATTTTCACGGCCCAGGTCTGTAAAGATTTTCTATGTTTTTTTTCTGTATTAAAATTTTTTATGTGTTAAAATTAATACAAATTTTTGAAGGTATTAGCAGATCTGTTAAGGTCTTATTAGGCTTATCGTTTTTTTTTTTCGTGTTTTTTTTTTTACTTGCAGAACTTTCAGCAGCAAACTGTTAGGAGTACTAGGCTTGTCACAATGAAGCGTTTCTCGAAGCAATCGAGGCCCGATCCTCAATAGTTTTTGGTAACTTATTCTTTTCTAATGTTTCAATTCCAGCTTTTAACTTTAAGTCTTAAACCTTGCATTTGCTAATTGCTACTTATCAAGGTCTTTCTTTTTTTGTCCTTTTTATTTTTTAATGCCTCTGTTATATTGGTTTGTTTGTGTAGCTTTGTTTTGATTCACACGTGGGATTTTGGTTATGACTGGAAAAGTTTTAAGTGCATGGGCTGTTTGAATTACAAATGAATGATCATTATATTTTTTCGGAGAATCATAGCTTTTTAGTGGCAAACTGTCACACGACTTTGGTATTTGCCATAAGAACTTTAACAGACAAACTGTCACACGACTTTGGTATTTGCCATAAGAACTTTAACTATTGTTGTTTGCATCACTTTGAGATCTGAAGATAAAGGGGAAAGTTGGGTATGGGGACAAAATTTATATGTTTCTTTATTTTTTATAAGCCTTAGGAACTTCTAATGTTTAAAAGTTTGTTTAACAGCATAACATTAGTTTTTTTAATCATATTTATATGGAAAATTTTTAATAGGAGCAATCAATAGAAATAAATTTGATTGATTGAGAAAATGAGAATGGGAATAAATTGTGCAATAATCATGGATAGTATATTATATTTATTATATTTGTCTACAGAATAATTATGTCTACAAAATGATTCTTGGAGCCACAAATTTAGGACGTTTTTTTTTTTAGATTAGCATAGCACTATTACTTTTTAATTATTATGAGAGTTAGTTTTCAGATTATATACCAAAATTCTTCAATTTTTTCAATTTCATTTTCCCGCCTGGAATTGTGTTTGGAAAATATAATTCTCCAAAAGTCTTATCCAAGATACTTTTTGTTATTTAATATTAATTGACATATTTAAAATGTGCTATAATCATGGATATTAAATTTTAATAATTAAGTCTATATCATGATTTTCTTTGACTGAACATCAAGAATTTTTTGTACTTTATATTTCACGCTTCATATATTTTATGATTTGCAGCTTTAATTTGATAATTACTACTTATTTGATATGTAATTTTTTTCTTTTTGCAGGAATTGCATTGCAAACACTATTGCTGAGAAGGAGTTTTTGAATTTTATATTCATTTATAATTTGTTTTTATGTTGGTTGTATTTTTTTTTATTTAATTTTTATTTGTTGTTTGTTAATTTATTTCAAGATACTATGCATAACAAAATAAATAATATACTGAGCAGACTAATTAATTGTTTAAAAAAATATGTGAACATTTTCAATAACTCCAATTAATGGCAGAATTGTTTTGTTTCCATGTTTATGCATTTATTCATTCCCAAAATTGAGCTGTTCTTGAATGAAGAAAATAAAAAACGAAAAATAAATAAAATGTAACTGAAATGGGCGGGAAATGAAAAAAGTGCCAGCTAGGTAAAATTAAATAGGTTTTCTTTAATGTTTTGAGCTAGTAATTATATATACTAGTATTCGACCTGTGCATTTGCACAGATGTAAATAAAATTAAATATTATAAATTATATTTATGTATATAATATAAAAATTATAAGTTATATAATTGTATTATATTTCAAACATATAGTATTATAAGTTACTTTTATGTATATAATATTAAAATTATAAATTATATAATAGTTGATCATTGGTTAAAATAAATAGTACACACGATTTGATTGTATACGAATCACTATATTGATTGCATAAAATGCAATAAATATATACTTTTTATAATTTTGAGTGATCATAACCAATTAATTAGCTGAAAAATATTACATTTATTATAACAATTGCTTATGTGATTTTAAGAAATTTTACTATAATATAAAAAAAATAATTTATTAATAAACAACATCTTCATCATATAAAAAAATATTAATTTTAGTGTAAAATATAATTTTATGTAACTTTCATATATTATTTAGAATAAAATATAATTACTAATTTTAATATTAACTATTATATTATTCAATAAAAAATATAATTATTAATCAATTAACATAAAATATAATGGAGGATATACATGTATACAGTCAAATACGTGTGGTAAAACATATATAATTTTCCATTTTATTGTGAACCTCTTTTCTTCTTCTTAATTTTAGACTTTGAAGTTTGAACTTTGAAGTTGAAGCGCAAATTGCACGTGTGGTAAAACATATATAATTTTCCATTTTATTGTGAACCTCTTTTCTTTTTCTTAATTTTAGACTTTGAAGTTTGAACTTTGAAGTTGAAGCGCAAATTGCACGTTGACGTGGTCAAGTCCAGCAATTATAAATTTCCGTGATAATATGTTTCGGCCAAGAAATTTTTGGACTAAAAGATGGAGATCTAGCTAGAATTAAGTCAAAATATTCATTATATTAAATATTAATTAAGTATCACTTATTATTAT